AAAGTCAGTAATAATTTACATTTTTAGGCTATCTTGCGAGTTGTGAATCTCACAAAGTTTAGCAGAATAACTTTACTAATAAGACTTGTGTCCAGGTGATTTGATGTGGACACTCCACAAATTTTCTGTCAAATAAATCACATCAGTCATGTGACTGAAACACAGCACATAAACAGGGACTCTCCTGCTGCTTATTCATACACAGAGGGTAATCAGATGCTTTCAACTTTTTCTTTCACTTCTTAAGAATCAACATGGGCCTCTTCCTTATATAAATTATGTTTTGAATACATTGGAAAAGTGTTTCTTCCAAGATACTACTAGATTTAAAAAAGGGTTACACTCTTTATTCGACAAAATATTTACAATTAAAGGTTACAATCAACTCAACACCTGAGAAAAACAACCAAAAAATGTTCTTACACACACAGCATCACTAACCCTTCCTTTGTCCATGTCTTAGCATTTGAAGTAATGAGCTCCTGCACGTTTTGAATACATTGGAAAAGTGTATCTTCCAAGATACTACTAGATATAAAAAAGGGTTACACTCTTTATTCTGACAAAATATTTACAATTAAAGGTTACAATCAACTCAACACCTGAGAAAAACAACCAAAAAATGTTCTTGCACACACACACAGCATTACTAACCCTTCCTTTGTCCATGTCTTAGCATTTGAAGTAATGAGCTCCTGCATTTGGTTAATGCAACTGTTGTTGAAATAGTCTAAGCAGACATTATTTCCATGACTGATAGTGAAATACTCAATCTGTCTGTATTTTCAGAAATGCCACAAAAGCATGCACTGACTAGAATTGCTGATATAGCTCTGCAAGGGAGGAGGACAGCAGAGGGAGGGAACTGAGATCTCTGCACAGGTTCAAAATTAAAATCAATATTTATATTAATTACAAAATGTTTACTGTAGTTAAGAATGTATTAAGAGTTAAAAATCAATTATAAACAACAAAACAATTAAAATACTGTCTCTTAAAACAGAAAACAACTTGTGCCTAGCTCTATTTTTTAAAAAATATGATCCAAGATGAATATTTCAGATTCTACATTAATAAAAATTTTAAAATATAAATTTTAATAAAATTTCCACAAAATTTTAAATTTTTTTACCTCCAAATCTGTTGTCTCTCCTTAACTTTTTGTTAACAGACATCACCACCTGTTTATAGTCAACTTTATAGAAATAAAGAAATCTTAACACACAACTTCTTACATTAGCCATGCATATCACAAATACTTGCATTACATTCAACACAGGAGGCATAAAAACACCATGGACACTACAGAGAAAAAACCCAAAAACCTGATGCTAACAAATGCTGAATTACTATACCAAATCATTACACGTGTTATGAAAAACTCCCACAAGATAAATCCATTATAGAATCACTGTTCTCCATGGGAACAGCTGTCGAGCAATTAATATTTTCTTTAATTGTTCCCTAATTAGTATTTGGAATTTTAGTAGTGCCTTAGCAACTATGAAGAATGTCAGGTATATTAGAGTGCTAACTTCTGTCTCAGCAGAGTTGAGCAAGGCAGCAGAGTTCTTGCTCCTTAAAGCTCAAACTACTGGCACCAGGAATGTAATGACACAGCAAAGATAGTACTGACGCCTACAAAATAAGCTTAACTAAAGAATTTAGCTATTATGCACTGCAACTATGTTGTTGCAGCTGCCATCTGCAGATCTTGAGGTCACTTACATAGCTTGAGAGAATCACTCTGTGAAAGTCTAGTGAGCTGCCCAGATTTCTTATCTTGGTCAATGGTGGACAGGTTTACTTTTGTCACTTTACCACCACGGCAAAACCACCATCATGTCAGCAAGAAGCAAAGTGTATTTCAGCTCTGTGAACATTACATCTCACAGATCCCAGAAACTCTGACTCTGGGAATTAGTCAGATTGCTAACACGGTGCAGATGAGCTGAACCCAAGCCGTGGATACCTGTTCAAGCAAAGCCAACACCAGAGCCTGGACTCTCATGATCTGGTTTATGGCAAACTCTTTGCACTTGTGACTCCTTTAATATGTACTAATGTGAGGGGCTTGCACTGTTCCAACACAGACAAGCAGATGTCTCCTGAACAGATATAGCAGCCACGTTACACACACTCATCTGATAAGGGTAAATGCTGCACTGTATTTAACCACAAAAACTAAGTGAAAAATTAGAAAAAATATTCAAGATAAAGATCTTCTCTCTTCATACAACACATACATTAAATCCAGAAGAGTCTAAATCTGCATATGAAATACCTATCAACAGTAATAATATGCTACATGAAGAAAAATGTAACATCATGTGTTTTCTATATAGTGCAAATCCTTAGTCGCACCTCCCCATGAAGAGGAAGAAAAAAGAAAAAAATCACTGAACAAAATGACAGTTCAGTGCCTTTCCTTCATTAGAGCTAGAATTTTTATGTAAGGGATATGCACAAATGAGACCCACATTTTCCTACTTTAAAATATAAAGGTCTCTATTGTTCCATGTTACACCAGTACTGCTATGAAAACTTAATTTCTCCAACTTTTTTTTCCTCTTGAAGAACAGAACTACTGTTCACTTAGCTGTTCCAAACAGAATGCATGCTCAAAGGGTGAGATAAGGGGAAAGAAGAACAAATTACCACATTCATTTACTACTTTTTTCCTTCTTCCTTTAATTACTAGCAAGGAAGATTCCTACAAATGCCCATCATTCATTAAATTATTTTAACCCAGTGCATATGTTCAATAGGTCCATATATTTCTCACATCCATTAAGTTAATTTCTATGTTTGTGAAAGTCCATCTATAATGCTAATAATATAAGCCATAAACACATACAAATATTATTGCAGACACAGTATTTGACACTAAAATAACAAGAAAACAATGCTAAGATAATTTGATGCATGTTATACATAAAGAGATTATATACAGAGGTTGATAAGAAGAAAAACAGTTTTAGCATCCATTTGGATGAAGAAAGACTTAGAAACATGTGGTTTTAAGCTTTTTCTGACCATGTCATGGTCAGAAAACTGAGGAAAACATTCTGTGCATTGTAATTCTGCAAAGTGCTTTACAGTGCCTGTTTATATCTTGCTGACTTGTAGGCAGAACTCTTTCTACTAAAAAAATTATTCATTGAATAATTATTACTTTTGTTTCTGAGTTCATACATATACACTACAAAAACATCTTCAAATTAAAGCTCTCCCACCCCAAAAAATGCTGTACATTCTGTATTATACAGTGGTGGTGGGAAGCAGTTAAACAGGCAAGCATGATAAAAGCAAGGAACTCATGTCAAATTGGAAATGTCCAGTGAAGAAATATAAACATATCCTTCAGCTATCTCAGCTACTAAACACTGTCCCATCTCTTCTCCCTAAAACTTATGATGGCACTTAAATGTACCACGCATACACCATGCTAAGTAAACCCACAGAATTCTGTTCCCCCACTCCTGGGACGGTGATCACGCACTCTCCAGTGCACCTGCTGTCCCAGCAAGTTTGTACTTCCACTGACCAGTGTGGTGAATTTCACAGTAATCAACAGCACCACAAAGCTCTGCAACCTGGTAAAAAACCTGACAGACACACCTTTATAGAACTCTTCAATTAACTATTTAAATGGAAAAATACTAATTTCTAGAAGGACATGAGGATATTACAAGAGGGCACAACTGTCATGGAGTCAGAGTCCTCTCTTTCCTTGTCACTGACAACATCTCATATTTGTTTGATCAATTTTACCATAGGATTCTGTGATTTTACATTAATGTAAATGATAGATTAATCTATGTAAGTAAATTTTCCTCCATTTCAGTCCTACTGAAAGTTGTTGAAGACTGAGCAATAATTGCTAGAAATTTCTTCAAGAAGAAGATATTTCTATTTATTCAGGACCAATTTATAAGCATAGCTTATATGACAACACACTCCTTTACCATGATTATTTTCCCCTTTCTAGAGCTTAGCCATACATTTTAACAGAGAAAAACTACAGCTCCTTTTTTTGCTAAGTTCAGTAATCAGTGGTCAAAATCTTTTATAAATTACATCAACAACTATTTAATTTCTATCAGCACAGAAAATCTTTTACCATTTAAAAGAATTAAGAATGTGCCTAAAATCTTAAAATATTAAGAATGTGCTATGTAATTTCTACAATATTTCATTATTTCATTCTAAACTCAGGTTTCTTTGTGTTACATAAGTTAAGAGAACACAAACCAGGGCAGTATCAGCACATAAATGTACATTATTCAAGTATTACTTGTTTTATTATTGTAAAATAGGTATAATAGAAATAGAAATACCTTTAACTTAGGGAAATATGCTTTCTTTTCCTGAACAACAAATTTTTCACTGTAATCTAATACTCTCATATATGCTATTATTATATTTACAGAACAACTATATTATTAATATATCCATCAAATATACATGCATATATGCTATATATATTCAAATGTGTAGAACCATAACATATAATTATACACCTACTACATATAGAAAAATATAAATGTATATTACATACCTTTTCTGTTTAAAACAGAAATATCTATAAAAGGCATATATCTTTTTATCCTGTATATAGGTGTGTTATATTTTTATATGCAAAGAATAATTATCAAGAAATAAACTTATACATAAATCTAGATATAATTATTTGCCTATACACATTTTATACTGATGCATATGTATATACATATATACATATAAATTTTATACATATATAGTTATAGACATATTTACCACATGTCTATTTTAAACCAAAAGAATTTTAGAGGATGGCAATACATTTTTCTAAAAAGCAGTGTTCAGCATAAGGTTGTTCAATGTGGGTAAATGAAATATCCCATTCAGTGTTACTAAGTACTTACTATTGAAGCCACTTTTTTAATGGAAGGGTCATCACGTTATTAAAACAAACAAGGAAACAAAAAGAAACCAAAAAAACACTATTAAATGCTTACCTCATACCATAAAGACTTCTCAGGACAGGAATTAAATTTCCATTTTATTAGGGACTGAATTATAGTTAGCTGTTCTGTTGTAATCCTAGAAAGCTTCATGCCACTGTTGTTCCTCCTTTGCTCAACATAATTCCAAGCAACAATTCCTATATGCCCTGATGGTAAAGTCCTAAAAATTGCTCTTGTTCCAGTATAAACTGATTTTTTAACCTCTTTATCATTTTTACAAAAACGTCTTATTAATAGTGTAGAACGTTCCTTTTTGTTTCTAAAAAAATCCTCTTCCAGCTCTTCTTCACAGTTATCATTGCAGTCCTCAAAATGGCTCAGAAAGGGCTTTGAGGGCATTCTTCCAGTAAAGTTATTTCCACAGAAGTTGTGACCTGAGCACGTCACTTTAACCTTTCGTGGTGCTCTTTCCAGACACAAGTACTTATCCCTTAAAGCATCTTCATACAACTGCTGTCCATTTTTATTCTCACAATTACTTGTCAACTGCATTATGCTGCAAGTACAGGCTGGGGAGCCAGTGGTGTTACCATCACCATCACTCATGGGCTGCAAGCAGTCATCCAAAAGGAAGCTCTTGTGTAAACCACACAAAGCCTTTGATATACTCCTGTCACTAGCACAATGTAAGTGAAAAAAGGCCACTTTATCAGGATCACTGCTGTCATTCTTATTTACTGCTGTCTGGCTTCTTAATGAAGGTCCATTCATTTTCAACTGAATTTCAGCAAGCATGGCTCTTTCCAGCGAAACGGGAATTCCAGTTTCCAGGCACGCCTCCTCCCCTGCTAAAGGAGCACAAGACTGATACAACTGGCTGCAGGAGATCTTGCTCTTGTAGTTTTTCTGTACAATGTTACAGTTAATGTTAAGAAATTCCACTGAATCAGAGATGGAGCTGTTCCTCTCCCAGAAGTTTTCATTACTCTTGTCGTTAGCCAGCTGTTCTTTGGCCAGAGGGAATATTTTGGGCACTGAGCCCTGAAGACTTTCTTCTTCAAGTCTGTGTAAGTAAGACAGATTGTGTGCGGTTTGCCTTCCCGAACTGGCTGTATGTCTTATAACACTGGTGTCCAAAGCATTTTCAGTATTTTCATCTCCAGCTGACTGGGCAGCTATCACTTTACCCTGTACCACAGAGAGGAGAACAGACGCTGTCATCTCCTCAGAGGTCATCTTGACACAGTCTCTAGTTTCTGGATGTGTGCTGGGGATGGGGGGGGACCTTCCCCACCAATCCTCATACCATGATTTCAGTGTAATGAAGGATTCAGTGCTAAAGAATCAGAGAACACATGGTAAAATATATATTGACTGCTTATTCTTTTTGCACTGACGTTTACAAAAAATTAATTGTTTTTACTGTTGGGCTGCTAGGCTTTCCCAAACTTGAATTACTGGCATGAGACACTAACATTTTTAAACCAGTTCCTTATCATGATGTGGCCATTCAGCTGGACCGTCTCCACAATTAATTCTTCTGTCAATATAGACCACACACTGTTGCCTCAGATTGTAGATGACCAATCACATACTCCATGTCACAGATGCATCTCCCCACAGGGCATCCACAGAGCTGTTTTTCTGTAAAGAAAAGACATATATAGATATATTGAACAGCATCCATGGCACAAAATCCACCATCACAACTACAAACACAAGAATGCCATTTAATTGCATTGAGACCTAGAGAATTCCAAAATAAACATTTAAATCTGTCTTAAAATTTCACAGAAGAATTTTGGAACACTGCCACGTTTTACTTATTTAAATAGCTTTCTCCACTTCACTGAGGAAAGCCACATGACTGCAGAAATTAATTATTCTGAAGCCGTAACAATTAAATTGAACACATAAAGAAAAGGGGAAAAAAGAAAATGTATTTTCCATATTTTTTCTGACTCATAGCCAGGATAAAACATTTTGAAGAATACAACAAATTTTAAATCTACACTGTCTTTTAAATTAATTATTTTCCTGTTCAAGAACTACAGTTGTTTTGGTGTTATGTGGTTTTTGCTTTCCTTAAACTGTATGCTGTTACCATGAAATAATAAAGAAAACATGAAATTTTTGCCACAAGTTTACAACTGAAAAAGCATGAAGACAGATTAAAGTAAAACTGAAACAGAAATAGTCTTCTGACTCATTTACTTGTACACCTTAAGCTAAAAAATTAACCTGCCTTTCAACATTGTCATTAATTCTCAGCTACCTTCCTGCAAGCAGCATAATAGAAATAAATCCTGGAATCAGAAAATATGAGCTTACAGACAGCTCAACAAAGGAAACAGAAGACTAAAAGAGACACGCCTACATAAATCACGATGAATTAAACAAATGCGCTTACACTTCAGTTTATCACATTTACCACTGAAAAACATAATATGTATTATTAAAACTATGAAAAATGTAGGCAGTTATATTAAGGCCTACATTTACTAGAACAGTCTAGTAGAAAGAAACAAGAAAAAAAAACCAACAAAAAATAGAAGAAAACTAAGGCAAATGATGAAATCGTTGTTTCAGCTACACATAATAATTAAATCATCCATAGTGGATAGAATTAGAAATTATGGGAGGCATAAAAAGCAGGAAAGCTCAATGAGTTTGGAGTGTAAAATCTATTTTGATACTCTTCTCAAGTAATTATGATTAACAATTTCATTTTAATCCATTTTAGATAGTCAGCTTTCATTTTATATTGATTACAAACCTTCATCCAAAAGCAGTCTGGCACAAATCAAAAGGTAAACACACTCATTAGTTCACGGGATATTTGACATCCCATTTTCCCACCAAATGAAATCAAAAGTGTAACAAAATGTAGCATTTTTGCTAGGGTAGCTGGAGGGGAAAAAAAGGAAAAAAATTAAGAGAAGTTACATTTTGCTACCAATCTGCATCTTAAAAGCTTAGCAAGCTTTTAAGCACTAATTCTTCATACAAAAACTACCACAAGTATGTGGAAAAAAATGCAATTTCATACTTCAATCAAGATTTCAATTTTACTGGTTTAACAACAGGGAGGGTCACAAAGGAAAGTGACAGAGAGAACAAAGAGCCACAAGTTTTACATTCTCCACCCATTACGAAGCACACATGCATGCCAGATCAGAGTCCAGGTGGCAAACTCAGATCCTGTACTAGAGAGATTTAGCACCAGAAAGGAAAATAACAGCCCCAGTTCATACAAAAGTTGTATAGAAGGAGACAGCAGTAGTTCAGTGGAGTAGTGAGCCTGGGTCTTCAAACAGTCACGACAGGAACACAGCTCACAGAGCACCCTATGGCTTACTGCAACTGCTCAGCTGCAGAGCACATGCAATGAAAAGGCAACACTCATGCAATTTTTAAAGTCTACATTATTTGGTAGTGCCTCTGCCTTTAAATTGTACCCTGAAATTGATTTTGATCCACTTTCTTCAACCTCACCTATTTCATTTTAAAAGGAGTAAAAAACACACTACCACCAACATGCACACAAAGGAAAGCACTTCAGCAATTTTTGTATTCTACCATTTCCTATCCCTCTTCCCTGTCCTTCCTCTTCAAATACACAGATGACAGCTTACATAACTTTTTGACACTACACACTTGATAGAGCCCATCTGATTTTTTCTGGCAACCACTGGCCTTTCACTCCAAACCTACATATGATGATGCAAAGGAGAAAGATTTAGGAAAGAGAATCAGCTGATTTTTTTCTTGATCTCTTTAGTTTTTTCCTTGCTATATCAAGTAACAATAATTCTTTGTAAAAGGTATAAGACATGCCTATTAGTAGTTGTCTTCAGCACTGATTTTTCAAGGAATTCTGTGATCTATCAAAATGTCTTAACCTACTGATTTATCTTTCCTGCCACCATGATATATACATAAATGAATTCCCTGTATTATTCCTAAGTCAAGAATTAATGGATTGGATTGTCACTGCAAGTATTATATCTCTTATTACACCTGTTGCTAAATGAAACTCTAACAAAATATCACTCTACTGTGCAAAAAGACAACATTATTATGCAACTTTAGCATCTCACAATGATTTTAAGATCATGGAATTGACCATGTATGTTAAATTACTTTTTTATTTTTTTTATGAAGGAACTTTAAAAAAGAAAAATAATCACATCACTGATTTGCTTCTGTAAGAAGAAATTTACTAAAACCAGAAGCCCATTTATATGCCTGACTATCCAAAAAGCCCATTCAGAGACTAGAACTCCTTCCCAGTCCATAATTTTCCCATCTCTCTCTTTCACCTCCCAAAACAGCTTCTCCCAGACCTTTTTCTTTTCTCTAGAAATTACCTCAAATTTCCCTCAACTCTGGTTGTGTTGGTCACCTCTCTCCTCAGCTGCTGAGGCCATACATCTCTCCATTCTCTCTACCAGTATTTCTCTTCTCTATTTCTGCCTGTTTGAAATCCAATTCATCAAGAATAATGTCTGCATAAGAGGCTCCCAATGCATGTCCAGCTGTTCCCTCTTCTTGTGATCATTGCAATGTGACTGCAATGCAAACGTGATCCATCTCAAGAATCTTTTTACTCAAGTTACTTCACAATAAAATATTTTCCTAATCTAATTCGTAGTATGGTTGTACTAATGTGCTGCTATAGCACAAGGGAGAAAATGAGCAGCATGGGGAAAGGAAGAAAATGCTTCCTAATGTGGTTTACACATTTCTGCAATTTGCAAACATAATTTGATGTTTAAGCTGTCAGTCTAGCAGGTAGCTGCCACCAAAACTGGTAGATCTACTCCTCTCCTCACTCTTCTCTTTCTGTCCCCAGTCCCTCCACCTCATTCATTGGGAGATCATGAATCCACAGAGTTAAATTGATTCAACTGATTGACAAGTCAAAAAATTATTTTTTCATCCAAAGAGACTCACTCTGTAGCCACATGATCACTGTATTTCATGAAAAGAAAATATTAGAAATGCCTGGTAGGACCACACATCTCAGTAGAAGCTTCAGTTTAGATCATGTTTGCTAGGATGTCTAAATGCACCCTGAAATTTCTCTGAGTCTGGTATGTCTAGTGTGTGATGCAAAACCTCATGAGATAGCAAGTAAATACCACGATGGCAGAGCCTCTGATCTACGGACAACTGCAAAAATATCTGAAGTTGTGGCTCTGCTGAACAGATGACAGGGGTTTCATGTGTCCTCAGTTATACTCTTCTCAGTGTCTGCTTTCCACTGCAATCAACAAATTTCAATTCAGTGTGCACAGCAAATTCCTGAAACTGATGGAATTCATTACACATGCTACGAAGTGTGTTAACACAGTGTTATAAATGCTACCAAGTAAAAAACTCACAAGCTCAACCAATAAAACTGTATTTTATATCTCACTGCAGAACTGCAGAATTATCACTCCCTGCGGCTTCCCTTACTTGCCTGTCTGCATATGGGTGGCCAAAGCCTAGATCTTCAAATAAAATCCTCAAACAAACATATAGATGCACTTGCATGTAAAAAATCTGAAATTATTCAAAAGCATACTCTTCCCGTTGTACATCCACACTGACTTAGTTTACAGTTAAATCTGAACATAAAAGCACATGAAGTAGACAGCAAAGCCTGCACTGCATTCAATACATGCTGGCATTTTCTAAAGCAAATATATTAGCTGATGAAATCCATTAATAATGACACTGGTTCATTTTACAAGGCCTAAGTTATGTCAGAAATGTAATGTGCTCCTTCTATCAGTAAAGTAAAAATATAAGAAATTAGATCCAGCGTTAGTGAATCATTGTGGATGCAGAGGTCAGCCAACAAAGACAAATGAGTAATTAAAATAAACAACCTGGCAACCATTCAACACACGCATTCTCAGAATGTATTAAGTCTGAAAACATGTGACACAAAAGTAATTTGTTTACTTTTTTTTTCATTTACAGTGACTGCATACACTTTAAGACTTCAAGTACAAGCTGGTTCTAATTAGTATTAATAACAATTAATAACAACATTTAATGATTTCTTAATCCCCAGATACCTGGACCTGAAGTCTACAACAGTCTAGGTAAAACATCTAATCTAACTCATCTAACATCTAACTCATTACCAAATCTGAAGTCAGCCAGAATTCTGCTTCAGTGAAAACAAAATATAGCATGTTGAATTAAGTATTATTTAGTCTTAGAAAAGGCATATGAAGGACCCGAACCATCACACAATGTGGTTAAGCTGGCTGTCAAAGGAAAAGATGCCCATATAAATATTTGAGGATGCTGTTTAGACTGTGGGAGCAAGTAGCAACTGCATGAGGGGCAAGGGATGGGTGTCAAGGTGAAGATGGGGATTGTTTAGAGAAGCTGGGTGCTGTCAGTGATGCCAAATGCAATTCTGTATGTATGATGCCATGGGAGCTGCACAGGAAATTCAGTGAATGCCTGGTAGGGCCAGGATTATGAGTGCAGAGAATAAGGGGGACTGAAACAGATACATGACATTACTAAACACATACTGTGGTTTCCATGGGCTAACTGCTATTGGACTGAGACAGATAGTAATTCAAAACAGCTAGAGGGAAGTGCAAGAACCCTGACAATCCTCTCCTCTACCCTGG